GAAAACTTACGAAATATTATGTAAAATTACGAAATATTGTGAACCGCAAAATTACGGAATATTACAAATCGTAAAATTACGAAGCTTTGCATATCATAATATTTCGAAATATTTTAAAAAGTTACAAAATATTACGCTTACGCAAACTTGCGGCAGGTCTGAAAACTTACGAAATATTATGTAAAATTACGAAATATTGTGAACCGCAAAATTACGGAATATTACAAATCGTAAAATTACGAAGCTTTGCATATCATAATATTTCGAAATATTTTAAAAAGTTACAAAATATTACGCTTACGCAAACTTGCTGCGGATCTGGAAGCTTACGAAATATTATGATGTGTAAACTTGCGCAACTTTTCGCACTATATAATTTCCTGATGCACCTCTAGGTAAGGTTTTATGACTAATCACAACCATTTTACATGGTTTATATTATGTGTAACCTAAGATTTTCTTTTACACTAATATATGTCATTGGCCTAATAATATAATAGGTAATAGGTTGACTTTTTTTTCAGAAAATACTAGTTATATTTTATAATACTTAGTTTTAATCCTTATATATTTATTTTTCTTATTTTATATAAATTAAATGTATAAATATATATATATATTGTAAATAAACAATATTATAATATAGTAAGACTGCATCTATAAAAATAATAAAAAAAAAAACTATTATTATATTGTAATATTATTTTAGTATAATAATAGAAATAATATTAAAACAATATCATTAAATTTATTATTCTCATTATAAAATATTGTTAAAGTACTTATTAAATATTTATTAATAGTATATCTATAAATAATATAAATTAACTTGAAGTAAAAAGTTTTAAAAATCATCTGAAATATATAATAAAACCTATTGACTATATAAATTTTCAGATAAAATTTTGTTCTTTTATTTTTGCATATTAAGATTTTATATTAAGTTTTGTTTTCCCTTTTTTTTTTAATAACTATATACAAATAAGATAAAACAAATTAAATGTGTTTTTTTTTGCATAAAATTTAAAGTATAAAACTACATTATACTACATACTTTACAAAAAACAAAAAAAAAAATAATAAATAATTTGATAAATAAATAATGATATCAATAATTAGTAACCAAAATAACTACAAATACTATGAATTTATGGTCAAATATTGATCTTTATGCTCAGCCATGAAATCATCTTGTTGACTTTGTGATGAATCAGTATTTTCGAATTTCTCAATTTGTGTTTTCATTGCAGTAATCAATTCCTACAAAAAATGAATATATTATACAAAAATTAATTAGTAAATTAATTAACTATCCTGCATTTAACAAACCACTTCACCCGTTTTTTAGTGATTACATACCACTTCTTTTATAGGTTTGGTTAGAAAATCATCCATACCAACTTCTTTAGCTTTCTTTACATCACTTTCAAAACTATTGGCAGTCAATGCTAATATTGGTATTTTCACACCACGATCTCTTAATATTTGAGTAGCTTCATACCCATTCATCACGGGCGTTATAATATCCATAAGTATACACGCATATTGTTGCTGCTGTTGTTGTTGGACAGCTTCTACCATATCAACAGCTTCTTTACCATGATTTGCAATGTCAACTGAATAATTATTTCTATTTAACATTTTATATGTTACTCTCTGACACACCAAATTATCTTCTACAAGTAAAATCCTTAATTTCTTAGGTTTTTCTGTAGCAGCAGAAATATTAGAAATATTCGCAACAGCATTTACTTGCGTATCCGCCTGATTATCTAATGTAGAAGAAGGTTTATTATCATTATCATTATTGCTGTTATTAGTAATACTGCCAATATTTTTAGCATCTGCTGTTAATGTTAATGGAGAAATATGAGCATCATATGAAGTAAGAGGAGGTAAATTGTTATTTGGTAAAGTAATATGAAGAGAGTGTTGATTAAGTGAACCTGTAGAGGTGGGAGAAATTGATGCAGGTGTATCATGTGGAGATGTCGATACATTCGGAGATGTATTTACATTTGTAATAATTAATGAGATATTACTGCTATTTTTTGATTTAATAGAAGCTGCCTTATTAGTATTAGAGCTTGATAATAAATTATGATCTTGAGTAAGTGGCGGAACCGGTGGAACAGGTGATCCAGGCGAGATACTTGTATTACCACCAGAATAATATGATATTATAGGTAGTGGCAGTGTACTCTCTTGTGATTCTATTTGAACACTACTCGCAATATTTTTGCCTGCACTTCTATGTATCGAATCATCATTCGCAGTAATATTTGAAAAACTAGTAGATAATGGAGAGGATGATGGTTTCTCAATTGTAGAACCCGCTCTAGCCAATCCAGATGCCAACATCATACTTCCTTTTCTGAAGAAATTAGCGGCAGCTGACTTACTTTGTTCAGCAACATTTTTTATACTTCCTGCTTCATCATCAATAGGGTCCTCTCCTCCATTATTCATTACTGCTGAAGTAGCTGGTACAGTTGTAGATCTTCGTTTCTTTCTTATCGTATTCATATACGATTTACTATCACGTTTTGGTTTTGCCGGCATACTCTTCCTATTACGAAGATGAGATATTGCATCTTCATTATCAGAATTTATTACTATATCATCCATCATTTTACCATCAATTGATCCTGGGGCGCTGGAAATTTTGAACGAATTTCGCCCTGCGCTACCATTTTTACTGATCACTAAACTGTCATATGATTCTCTTAACAACCGTCCTCGATCTTTAGACTCTTCCGTCAATAACCATATTTCAAACCATACATGATTATTATTTTTTTTATTAACATTACTTTTTCGCTTACTGCTACCACTACTACTTCTGTCCACTTTTTCTACTACTAATCTTCCTCCCATTACTCTAACGATAGCTTGAACCAATGCCATTGATAATCCTTGAGCGTGAAATCTTGATCCTATACTACTATTAGTTTTTGCATATGGTTTAAATAGTTCATTTATTTCTTCATCTGAACTCAATCCTTTACTTTGGTCTTTCACTGAAAATCTCAATAAAATTCCTTTGCTATGATGAACTATTTTTTGTTCAATTATTAATTCCACTATTCCGTTACTAGGTGCCACTTCAATACTTCTTGCCAATAATTTCATTAATATTTGTTCCAATCTACGTTCATCCCCATATAAATTCCTTGGTAATTCACCACTAATTATTGTCTTTACTTGAATTTGTTTATGGTCCGCTTGGATAGATTGGATTTTAGCTATGTTATCAACTAACGTGTAAATATTAAATCCGTCACATTTCAAATCAATTTCATAAGGATTTGGATTGGTGAGGTGTGTCAAATCGAGAACATCATTCACTATAAATGATAAAAATTTCCCTGCTGATATTATGTATTCTAATTCTTCAAATTGTTCTTTTTCCTTTAGTGAATTCTTCAACATTTCCGCAAATCCTAATATTGCATGTATAGGATTCCGTATCTACGATTTAATATGCATAAGAGATATTGAGAACAAAAAAAAAAAAAAAAAAAAAAAATATAAAACAAAATAATAAGATTTTTACCTCATGACACAAAAAGAACAAGAACTCAGTTTTACTTTGATTTGCTAAATCTGCATCTCTTTTGGCGTCCATAACTGCCCTCTCATTCTCTTTTTTAAATGACACATCTCTAAACATTACCACTTGTGTAAAATAATTCTTTTCTACAACTGGCTGCGAAAAATTAGCTTCGGCTTCAAATAATGTACCATCTTTCTTCTTTGCTAATACATCTCTCATACCAGGCCTAACAGGAACTTCTATCAATTGATAGTCTCCATTTAACGGGTTATTATTTCTTTCCTCAGTCGGCGTTTCAGCTACGGGAATCAATAATGTATTTATATGCATCTTATTTGCTACTTTGATTTCTTCTGGTGAATATCCAGTTAAGGTCAGCGCATGTTTATTAGCTCCAACTATTTCTCCTTTGGCGTTCAATGCGAATAATGGATCTGCAATTGCTTCTAATACCGCCTTAGAATCTGCCGTTATTGCTTTAAGAAGACTTTGTGTTCTTCCTAATTTAACCGCTTGTTCAGTAAATTTATATCGTGCTTTAAATAGTTTTCTAAAATAATTCGACGTAAAAAGAGCTATAATAGAGAAAAACGAAAGTATCAGCACAAAATATACAATTGGCCCATACATTGATACTGATCGATTATACGCCTCTTTAGAACTATAGCAAGTAAATTGCCAATTACGATCTCCTATCAGATAATTTGCCTGTTTATTAAAATTAGCAGAATGCCAAATTATACTATCATTTTTAGAATAAATAGGTGTGTTACTTTCTGTATCAATTATATCAAATCCAATCCCGGGTTTGTCATTAAAATTCTTTGCTACACTTCTAATTGTATCATCTATCTCATAAATTCCTATAACAAGTCCGCTAATATCATCAAAATTGTTCATATAAAATGGAAAATATACAGAAATCCCTCCTTTAGTATGATCATACGCTAATGCAATTCTTGGAGTTATAGTAATATTTCTTGTTTTCCTAGCTTTTGTAATTGCTGCTAACCTCTCTGGTTCTGAAGAAACATCATAATTCAATATAATCGGCGTATTATATCTCCATGGTATAGAATATAATACGGGGAAATATTCTGCAGCATCGGCTCGTATAACTAATTGATTTTGAGGGTTAAGTTGTTTTATTTGTCCATGTTTTACTTCATAATCTGAACGATTAGCAAAGGGAATTCTCGGTGCAAAATTCATCGTATAGATGTTCTAAATTAATAGATAAGGAAAATTAGTATATTCATTAATAGAAAAAGGAGGAAGATCAAGAATAATTGAAAATTTTTTTGCAAAATAAAATTAAATAACATGAGATTTTCACTATTTATCATATGAAAGTTATGCAAAACTCATAACATCTACGCGTAAAGAAACGAATAAACAAACCTATACATTTTTCTTTCAAAAAAAAAAAAAGGAAATAGGTACGACAAAAAAAAAAAAGGAAAAAGGAAAAAGGAAAAGAGAAAGAAAAAAAAAAAAAACTTTTTTCTTGTTCTTCCTCAATTAATATATTATCAGACATTACCATATTATTAATTGCTGATAGATTTCCATAATTGCTTACAATTTCATCAGCATCATCCATTAGATTCGGGTAAACACTTGCAAACACTGTAAAGAAACCTGTAAAATCCCTTCCGGTATTCAATCCCGAATTAAAAGTAGAAACTACAGCACTTATTCTTTCCATACATATATAATCGAATGAATCTCTATAATTTTTTACTTCTTGATCAAAAACAAATAATAACACTACAATAGCAATAGTAACACCTATCAAGGCAATAATCAATGGAAGAAATATTATAGCTAAAGTTTCTTTTGTTGGTTTTATTCGTGTAAAAAATCCTTTAGGTTGTTGTGGTATAGGAGAGTTTGAACCTGTATTAAAGTATGGATTCCTATATTGTCTAGTATAATTATTTGATGGTAAAGTTGAAATATCAACAGTATCATGAGGTTCCATAGTTGATAAGTTCACTACATGTTCAGTTGGACGAATGATTTCAGAGGAGATATCTGAAGGACGTCTTGATTGATTACAAAAATCATAAGCTGTAGTTGATAAATTGCCTAAACCTGAAGATATATTAGCCTCTTTATTTGACTCTCCTTCTACAACCTGTATTAGAGCATTCTTCTCGTTAGTGATACTAGAATCTGCCGTTATGGTCGTCGCGGTTGTTATGTTACTATTTCGAATTTCTTTTTCTTTTTCTTCCTTTTCTTCTTTATCCTGTCTTAAATTATCGTTACTTGTGTTTTTATCAGTCATTTGAGGAAATAGTCTAGTAAATATATTAAACATAAAACGTTGACGAAAAGAATGAAGTCTATCTCTTTCACTATTTTTATCTTTTGAAGAAAAAAACCAACTTGAATGAGGCATAAAGCAGAATATCAACTAAGATTTAAAAAGAAAAAAAGAAAAAAAAAAAAAAAAAAGATCTATAATATAATACACAAATAAGATTGCAAAGAAGTTAAGGATAAAAAAAAAAGAACTCGAAGCTTTTAATTCATTTATACATTTACAATAAAAAGAAAATTTTCGTGTAAAAAAGATTGAGTATATGTTTTTTTTTTATTTACGGTATTTTTATTTTATCGTATGGCAGATTACTGACATTTTCGGAATAGTTAGTATTATTTGTTCCGGGGGAAAAGAAAGTTTTGATGGATGAGAAAAAAGGTAGTGCAATATAAAATAGTAAATTAACCTTAAATCAATGACTAAAGTGTAAAGAGATATAAACATTCTTGGCGACTTGTATCACCTTCTACGAATTTTTATAAGCCTACACTAATTAGAAAAATAAGGGAAATGTAAGGAATGTGATTTAAATGATCTCACGATTCGGCAATAAAATTATCAGATACTGCGGTTGGGACTTGTTTAATAATCACAAATTTTTTTATTTGTACCAACAAAAAATCAACAAATAAAACCAGTAATAAAGATTCACCCATTTCCGGGAGTAAAGACCATAAAAATTTCCATTGAACTCAACAAATTTGGGACCCTGAGTGGCAGTGCTTTTGAAAAAAAAAAAGTTTTTTGAAATTTTAAATTTTTTTCGAAAATCTCCTTAATAATTCTATACGGTAATTATTGTTAACCATGTAAAGATAAAAATATTATAGCACTGCCCAGCTCAGAAATTTCGATAGACTAAAATTAAATCTATTTTTATAATAATTATATGAGCCCGGTACTTATTCCTAAAATTAGCTAGGCTATAATTTCTGCTTTAGTCTTTATAATGATTAATCCTACTTTTTATTTTTTTTTCACGAGAAGATTTTCTGCACCCTTTGAAAAAGTTAACAGCTAAATATAACGTTCTATTTTTGCATGCATATAATAACAGTTAATGTTACAATGTACTTTGTTCATAATTTTGTGAAAAATTCTTTCGGATAGTTACACAAACTATGCGCGGTTTTTTTTCCTTTGACCGTTAACTTAATTATAAATATTTATGAAAGATTATGTTTACAAATCAAAAAGATGAAAAATGATTTTTTTTAATTTGTATAAATACGGTAGAAAGGTATTGTTCCAACTTTTTTCATTTGTAACACTATACTAGAAGGAAGTTTTGTAATACATTTGTGTTAAAATTTGTGTTATGAATTTGTAATACATAGAAATTAATTTGGCGCTACGTTTCCTTTGGAATTAAAAAAAAATCATATTTTCATTTTATCAAATATCTGAATGAAATAAATGAAATAGAACTTATTTTATTTTAATTTGGATTAATGAAAATTTCAATTGTTCATTATAATCAATAATCAATAATCAATAATCAATAATCAATAATAAAAAAAAAATTAAAATAAAATAAATAAATAAATTCATTGTTTCAAACCCTTTCTATCCTGATATATGCCAATTTTGGTTTATCCGTATCTATGAAAATTTTGTGAAATTAATCTCTATGTACAACTTTAAAATTTTTAATACCTGTAAAAAATTCCCTCCCATTTTTCGTTACACTTTTTAATTCTATAAAAATTCTGAATGCGTTAAAAGTTTTCCTTTTTCAAAATAAGTCTGGGGGCTCCTTTGTCTCCTTTATGGTATAATTCATTATAATTATCAAACATGTTTATCCCTTTATCTTACCCTATTCTATGTTTCAAAATCCCGTGATTTTTTGAAAGAATTATATAAGGAGTGAAAATCATATGATGTAAAACATTAAACGATTGTCTTGAATGATATTGTTATTATTTGTCCTTGATTACATGTAAAATGGTTATCCCTAATTTAATAATTTATCGTCCGATTCGTTTACGATGTTATACAGTTAATTATTCATTGTTAAATTAATCATACCATAATTTGTGATTTATGTTTTGCCATATTACTATATTTTATCAAAGAACTTCTATACATATTAGTTACTTCCCTTAAAAACTCCCTCTATAAAGTTGATCCCTAAAATATCCAATCAGCTGATTTATTATGTAGTACTTACGTTGGATTTTTTTGAGTCTGATCATGATCGGTTCTTAATATATAGATTTTAGTATTAATTTGCCAAATAAATATCTATATAAAGTAAATTAATTTATTTTTATATTAATATTATTAATATGACCATTCCAATTTACCCCTTTTATATAGATACATATATTCTATCAGCTATATATATCTTATAGATTTAAAATCTATATATAATAATATATTCTATATTTTTTTTTTTTTGATCTCCACTCTTCAATTTTATATTTATGCAAATTTACATAAAAAAATTTTTAATTCTTTTTTTTTTTTTAATGTACTTATAGTATTATTTATTAACAGGATTTCAATTAATGTTAAACTATTCACTTATAAACCCGCAAATGAATTTAATGATTAGTATATAAAAATTTGATAAAGTAAAGTATTATTATAAAAATATATTAATTGATGAAATAATAAAACATATATTATATAAAACAATTTAAAGTTTTAATTATTATTAGATTTTATATATTTTACTTTAAAAAAAAAATTATTATTATTGAAATCAGTTTTTATAAATTAGAGTAAACTTTTATAAGAAATTTATTAAAATTAAAAGTTTTTTCTAATATATTTATATCATTTATATTAAATATAATTAAAAGAAAAATATAAAATTTATAAAATTTAAATTTCAAAAATTATATTTTTTTATTAATTTAAATCAAATTTATAGTACCAGTTAAAATTACAATTNAAAAAAAAAAAAATTAATATAAATCTCTTTTATATAATTATATATTATAGTAAATTTAAATCAAATTTATAGTACCAGTTAAAATTACAATTTTATATTAAATAAAAATTATTACCTTTTTAAATTAATAGTTTTAAGTAAATATTTAATATAATATTTAATTTAATAGTTTAAAATTATTTTAAAAAATAAATTAAATTTAAAAAAAAGCAGTTTTAAATGTAATATTTTAATAATTTTTCTTTATAATATTTTTAAATGGAATTTGCTATTTATCGCTAGTAGTGATTATTATTAGTATTACATGATTTTTTAATTTTAATTAAAATTAAATGATTATCGATCCCTATGAAAGTAAAATTAAAATTAAATGATTGATATAAATTTCCTTTTTTAAAATATTGTGTAATGTATTTCTCATTTTTAATGATAAACAAAATTGACTTTTTTGGATTATATATTATTACTCAAATATCTAAAAAAGGATATTTTAGCTGGAATTATAAAATTTAGCTAAAATTATGAATAAAAGTAAATAAATAGGACTAAAAAATTGTTCTTAAAATATATAATAAAAATAGAAACAAAGAGAAAATGATATGATATAATAAATTATATATTATTAAAATCATATAATATTAGCAATATATAGTAATTTTATTTTAAATTATAAAAAAATTTTATTTTTAATTTAGATGATTTTTTATTTCCCTTAAATTTAATATATAAAAATAACATTAACTGATTATTTATTAATTATTTATAATGTAATTTTTGACAAAAAAAATTTTTTTTTTAATATAAGTTTTGTATAACTTTTAAAATTATAATTTATAGGTAATTTTGCTTGTTTTACAAATTTATTTAATATTTATAAATACCATTTTTGATATTTTAACAATTTACAACT